TCTTTGTTTTTCCCGCACTACTGTGGGAAAAATTTTCCCACACTGTTGCGGGTGAACCACGCACGCTTGTAGAAAAAATAATTTTCCTATCAGAGAGCCAAAAAGAAAAATTCACCAGCTTGTCAGTGACAATTTGTATCGAAAAAGGTTTGGAGAAGAGAAATAAAGGTATATAAAAAAAATATCAAATTTTCACTTAGTTTTGGACGTTTCGGGAACGAATCTGCTCACGTTTTCAACATAAAAATGGATATTTGAATAGCAAATTCGTATTTGAAAACGGGAGCAGATTCGTTTCCATGAAGCCCACATTCAGTATATTCCCACTATGCCCCAGATCCGGAGGGAATGGCACCCGCTCCTCCATTTCCTCCCTAAATGATGCCAATGAACTATGAATTCCAATTTGCCACGAATGAACCTTACATTCCCAACTAGACAGACATTAATTACCATACGATCGAAAACAGGTCAATAATCTAAAAAACCGGTCAAAATATAGATGTATTCCCCACCTTATGTTTGCATAAAACGCACTGATTTTAAAATTTCGGCAGTCATCGACTCCAATGTTTTGTTCAACGATCAGTCATGAACGGAATTTTGATGAGACTTTTTGGGACCATAGATTATTCTGGTACTAGTCAGAACGGACATAATTTTAGTTGGTTGAAGAGAACGCCCTAAGCCACAGTTTCTAAGCTGATGCTCTCCTTATTTGTAATATTCTCGTACTGGTATTTTGTATTTATATGGTATAACACATCGAATAAAAATCCATCGATACAACTATCAGGAGAAAACATATTTCACCAAACTGGAAATGATGATGCGAATTTCGAAGTAAAATAACAAACAAGCTTGATGATACATCAATCCAAAAATCCAAAAATCCAAAAATCACCAGTTGACTAACACTGAATCACTCTGTATAACACCACCCTGTAAAGATATCCAATTCCTAGGTACCTATATATTCTATAAAATACAAAAAGTATTTCCATGAAATTTATCATTGATTCTTGGAACATGTTTCGAATCTATGAAGATCCATCTTCAGCTTAATGTTGGTGTACAAATTCAAGAATAAAGCTATGATTACAATTATTATTATAAGATACTTTGGAGAAGAACAAAATTCCACAAGTTCACAAGGTATCTACAAGAAGAAAGGTGATCGGGAAAGCCTGTCACGTGGTTAAGACCACTGACATAACTATCTAGACCAGGTGTTCTCAAATTCTCAACTTTTTTGGCCCCATGCACCCTTTTTACCATTATGCCAGATTCCTATGCCCCCTCAAAATACACCGCCCCTTGCCCTCAAAAATTTTTGCTTTTATATTTTTTTTTATCGCTTGGAGCGGACGAAAGGAAATCCTTATAATGTTCTTAGAACATCGTGCGTTCCTAGGGAGGATAGGGACAGGAGGTAGGTATTGGAGTTTTTTTGAACTTCAGGAGATTATATGTTGTTGGAAATACTTTCTCAGGCAATGAATTCCATAGCCTAGCCGTTCTATGGATGAAGGAGTCTTGATAAAGTGCTGTTCGACATCTTTCGAGGTTGACAACGAAAGGATGTGCTGACTGGGCTTGTCTAGTTCGTCTGATTAGTATTGCTAGTGAAGGGATGATAGCAGAGATTTCCGAAGAACATTTCCCGTGGAAGTATCGATAGAAAAGTGAAAGGTCGCCGACCTTTCTACGGTGTTCCAATGATCTCAAAGAGTGAGTGTGGCGACACCCACCAGGCGAATGGCTCTTCTCTGGATGGAATCTAAGAGCATCAGCGTATGTTTTGGTGCTGAACCCCATATGTGGGAACAGTATTCTAGAACAGGCCGTATCTGCGCTTTGTAGATCATGAGAAGCTGTTGAGGTGTAAAGTAGCTTTTCGCAAGAAACAAGAATCCGAGTAATTGTGAAGCAGCCTTTGCGATGGATCTGATATAACTATCTCATGAAAGAGTGTTGCTGATGGAAATACCGAGCATAGATATGGTGGGCTTGGTAAATCTGGATAACAATAGTAATAATAATATTCAATTACTGAATAATTACATATTATATCACTGATGTACTAAAATTAAACAGATTTATTAGTCAATGATAAATTTGTGACTGTTATTATTTATTTCAATATTATTAGTTTGATGGAATTGTTAGAACGTTTTTACCCTATCATTTGGTCAATCAATTTATTAATTTTCCCCCATCGAAATCTATAGCAATCTCGACATCTCATCCAAATTGCTCGCCTGAAAACTTTTCTGGTCAATGCGCAGCTCGATGGGCAGGAACTTCAAAACTGTCGCGTTCATACATAAGTAAGAGTGAGTAAGATATATGTATGACAGGTCCCCAATGCACACGCTCCATTGGACCAATTTCGATCTCGTGAATGAAGGAACATTGATCTCTCTAGTTAGTAATTTATGTCGGTGGGTAGAATCAAATGTGATGAACCATAATAACCTATATTATGAATTTTTTCATCAATGCTACATCTCTGACTGAATGATCTCAGTGACAAAACATTATTTGTACCTAATGCAGCAGTCATAAAACCGTTAATGTTCATGTTTGGTCAACTGGGTAGGTATATAGGAAACGGCCAGGGTTAATCACCTCTGAATACTTCGGAGATGCAAGAAACCGATGCATATAATAAATAGCATCGCAATCAAATTACTGGCCGAGAGCCACGTTCACTTCCTCGTTTTCGATTTTGCCTCGCTTCGGCGATCGTTGATATTGATCTCTACGGCCAGGGTCGGGTCTAGTTTATTTATTTATTTATTCATTCATTTATTCATTGTGGAATGCAAACAGGACTTGTCCACAAAAATGCATCCTCCTCTAAGTGGTTACATAGTTACAATAAGGTATAAATCATATTAAGATGATATAAGAATAAGAGGAACAATTGAAAAACAATTATTGGGGGGTACAACTTGACAGATATGCAGTGGTGCTCTAATTGTGAGAAGTGTGTTCTCAATATGTTTTGAAATTTGTAGAAGCTATTCGCAGATATGTCTATGCTAGTGGAATTTGATAAAATATTGTAGGTATTTATTATCCTGTGTAGAGAGGAATTTAGAAAATAGTATTTGCTTGCTCGGTAAAAAATAAAAGAGTTTGGCGAGTGTTAGTTAGTTAGGTACAGCATATCGAATCTGACTGACAATTTCGTTTGAGTCTATTTTGTGAATTACTACTTCGCAAAGAAACTTCACGTCTGTAATTTCCTCCGGTGTTCAAGTGAAATGAGGTTTAGTCTTTTCCGAACGGTGCACCTTTCGCTGACGTGCTGAAAGCATTTCCTGTTCACGTAATCAATGGATTTGTTTTGAATACTCTCAAGTATTTGAGCGTAAATATTATAAAAAGGGTTCCAAATCACTGAGCCGTATGTCAGAACGCTATTGACATAATATAACAGGGTTCTGGGATTTCTTAGTTCGCAGCAGGATCTGATTATGAAACCCAACATTTTATTGGCTTTCTTGGAGACACTATACATATGTGTTGGTCAAATAACAATTTTCAGTCGAGTACTATACCAAGATCTTTCACTTGCTTGACGGTTTCTAGCTTTTTATTTGAAATTTCAAACGAGGTTGGTATTAGAATTGAATTTCCACTGAAACTAATATGGTAACATTTGGATAGGTTGAGGTAAATGCTGTTGTCTTTACAGTAATCAGTGAGCCTGTCCAGATCATTCTGATTCAGTATCACGTCATTAGGGCAAGTAACAGGAAAAAATACTTTCAAATCATCTGCGTACATGAAAAATCTGGAAGAATGGAAACACTCGTTCATATCATTAATGTAAATGTTGAACAGCAGTGGTCCCAGATGGGATCCCTGAGGAACGCCAGTTCTCCCTGCACACCAAATCCCGCAAGCTTCGAAAGTAAAATCGAATGGTCGATTTTGTCGAATGCTTTACTTAAATCGGTGTACACAGAGTCAACCTGAGCTTTACGATTCATATTATTCAGTATATATTCTACAGGGTGTTTCATTACTAATTGGAAATATTTCAACCATAGAATCCTGAACTCAAAATATGAAGATTTAACCAAAATCACCTAGATAAAATATGTCTCCTGTCTGAGTTACAGGGTGATTTATTCAAAAATTTTGAAATGTTTTTTGCCCAGTTCTTGAAAACTATTTGACGTGTCACTTTCATATTTGGAGGGAAGTGTAGGTATTATACACCCAACTGAATTATGTGAAATGAACTTTTCTAGCTATTACCAGAGGCGTACGATAGGGGCAATTAACTGGTTGATCCCTCCCAAATTCTACGCCACTGGCGGAATTGCAATTATATCAGAATTTTTCGATTCTTCAATACCATTTCAATATTCAATTCTTTGTATCGAAAAATAAAAACCCAAATATTATGCTTTCGAGTATTTTGGCAATGGCCTGTAATGTTCAATAATATGTCTGTCACCAGATTAAGTAAAAATTCGATATTTTTTCAATATATCTATATTTCTTTCCTTCAAACATTTTTTTAAACAAATTGTCACTGACAAGCTACTGGATTTTTCTTTTAGACTCCCTGATAGAAAAATTTGTTAAACGCAGTGACATTTTGGGGCAAATCATCTGATTTGTCCCTCTACAAATATATTGAAATAATACTTTTATTTTATAGAAACGAGGGGAGAAAATCCCAAAGAATCAAGTAAAATTAATGTACCACCTCCTCGATTAACCTACAGACAGTATTTAAAAGTGGAATAATCGGAATTTCAAGATAAACGTTGAAAAATTGGAAAGAAAGTAGAAATGGAAATGGATCGAAATTTCGAAATAATATTCTCATGTGGAAATTCCTATCGAATGAAAAACAAAAAAAAATAACCTGGCACTTTCATACTTCCGTAATGTGGAGTGTGGAGATGATCTCCAAGAATCAATATCTTCCAACTTAGGAAACACATTACTTTGAAGCTTTTTCATTATTCCAGATCCAAATCTGAAGACCCGTAGTGCATAGTATGCTTTGTGCATTCAAATTCCCATGAGAGAGCAGTTGTTTCTTATTCCTCCACACTCGCATGCACTGGTATGCAATTTATGCCTGCTCATCTACCATTGGTCTCACAAAGTACAATGACTATCTGAACCATTAGATCTGCAAGAAAATACAGCCGCATTCACTACACCGCAGGTAAAAGCATCACGTTCAGATCGGTAGATGTACAATAGGACATAATAGACTGTATACAGGGTGATTCTCATTCGAGATATACTATGAAATATGGAATTTTCCAAACTGGGACAATCGACACTCGGTATATTATTTCTTAATATTTTGGTTAGATCACGGTTATTGATTAAACATTCAGAAATATACCAGATTCGATGGGGGTATACGTCAAACAACTACATAATACATTCATTTTTTTATCTACAATTTCAAAAATAATCCTTTTGCAAAAAAGGTTAATGCGCTTAATTAAAATTGTGAGTGTTCAATTCGGGTTTCAGACTGCAACTGACACTAAAGATGCGATTTTTCATCTTCTAGATACCATTTACGTGAAATTGAATGACAGTTATGCAGTTGGATCAGTGTTTCGTGATTTCTCAAAAGCCTTTGATTGTGTTAATCACAGAATACTCTCAGACAGAAGTCCGATGATCAGAATACGAAATGAGAATTCAGATATATCAAAGACTGATTGTGGTGTTCCACAGGGATCAGTACTTGGCCCAATTCTGTTTCTTCTATATCTAAATGACTTAGCAAATATTGATATTCTAGGAAAGTTCACAATATTTGCAGATGACACAACGATCATGTGGCAGTGATATATATAATCTCAAAGAGATAATATCCATTGACCTGAAAAAAGTTAAAATGTGGTGTGCTAATTCGTATTCATTCCCATTATTTCTATAAGACTACACAAAGAAAGCAGCAATGACACAGAAACATTCAACAAACGTCAAAATATCAACAAATGCCATGCCTACCATGAGAAGAAAAATGGAACGAGAATGCTAGGAGCAATGAACCGCTTTTTAAAATCGATTTTTCATTATAATAAGATATTTTTTTCGTGAAAAATAAAATCTTGTATGCACCACGAGCCTATTTAGATCCTAACGTCCTTGGTACATAAATACAGGATGTCGACGAATCTATTTGACAGGCCACAACTTTTAGAATATTGGATGTATCAAAATTAGGTTTGGTACAGGTTACTATATTTTTTTAGTGTCACTTTCAATATTGATATATCATTTCAGCACCCTCGTATATTTCGAAATTATTGAGGTAGAATTCTGAAATGGCGTAAGGGCCGGATGCAGGGGTCTAGAAACCCTGGGGCAACAAAGTAGTGGAGGCCCCCTGGTCCCCTATTATTTTCTACATAGAATGAAGATTGTAATTCATTGCGGAACCAAGTGAGTTATCTTGACAAAATGAATAAATATAGTGAATAACAAGAATTTTCTGCAATTGAATTTAGACTTTAATGGATGAAACCTCGTTATCTTTTTTCGAGGAAAAAGCTTTGATAATTTTGCTGAAATCCAGTTCCCGGAGTAAATCACTTTAAATGCTGAGTAGGGATATAGTTCTGATAGAAGGTTTTGTCCCATCATAGTTCGAAGCCTACTTTTTAGAATATTCAATTTTGAAAAGAAACGCTCTTCGGTACAAGTTGATACCTTCGACTACGGCTTTCTTAGCTTCTGCTCGACAAAAGACTAACGAATATCGTTAAGATTTTACAAAACCTAAACGCTTTTCATCTTCGATGATTATTCAGCTAGAATTCGGTATCATTATGTGCTTGCTGTAAAATACGTATATATCAATTATTAACGAAATTGAAGAATTGAATATCCGATGAACAAGAGTTAGCAGCATTTTTCAGAATTTTGATGTCTCTATGGATGGCCCCTTATTGGTGACGCCCCGCGGCTGTAGTCCCGGATGCCCTCCCCTGAATATCTGAATGCCCTCCCCTGAATATTTGAATATTTTTATCATCCAGAAAACCATCAATACCCATATAAAATTTCAACCCAATCGGTTCAGCCGAATTATGTGAAAAAGATAAGTACGGAAGGATAATTCTTACTACCCGATGTCCTATAACCCGTTTTCCCGTAGGAATGAATCATTTTTCCACAGTATATTTCATCAGGAATAATGTCAGGCTCCTAATGGTGAAAGAATTGATCAAATCGGCCCAGTAGTTTTGGAGCCTATATTCAATACAAACAAACAAACAAATCTTAAATCTTTATAATATTATTAATTGTTTGTACTTACCTACACCGGGTGTCAACGAATCTATTAGACAAGTCATAACTTCTTGACCATAAGGTGTATCAAAATGAGATTAGGTATAGGTAAATGGTATGTGAAGAGGAGAGTTTTCACATATTTTTCTATTTCCGATCACTTCCGGTTTCACCGGAAATGGCTCCGGTTCTAAATTTTTAAATGGAACACCCTGTATATAGTAACATTTTTGGATTTCTGAGACAATTCTAGATCAGAATATGACATTTTCGAAAGTTTTTATGCCTACTTATTTTTTTCGGAGTCACTTTTGAAATTACGTCTATATAGGTGGCCATGATCGGAAGTAAACTAATCTAAGGACCTCAGGTGATATCAGAAAATTACAATCGCGAAGTTTTAGTGACAATTATGATAGATATGAATAAGACAAGTTGGAAAAATTACATTCTCGTGTCTAACTATTATTTTTCAAATGGCGACCATTTTTTGACAAGCATTTTCAGAAAAAAGGATATTTTGACGAATCTAACGATACTAATTTATTTGCGATTGGATTACAAATGAGAACATAAATTGAATATAACTGACGAAAATACTTCATAATAATCTATTTACATTTGTCAAGTGTGCCGATGATAGGCATGATGCATAATATTTTGCAGTTATATCGATCAAGTCTTCTTGGGAGAACAAAACACTCACTTACGTATAATTTTCTTGATTTTCGTTAAATTTAAGTTTAATTTTCCGTCAAAATAATGTATACTCAAAGTGAAAAAGTGGATAAGTTGTTATTGTTTAGAGAATGGCACAGAAATTCAAGGAATGCTGCTGAGTTGTATGCTCAGAGATATCTCAATCGGCAACATCCATCCCATCAGTATTATCCGTATGTTGAGAATCGTTTTAGGCAAGAGGGAAATCGAGAGGCAGAATAGAGGTTTATCATGAATGAGGAGACTGAGATTAACGTTCTTACTATGGTTGAGGTTAATAAAACGGTTCCTTTAAGAGAAATTAGTCGAGAAATGCAGATGAGTCACTAATCAGCAAGAACAATATTGAAAAAGCACGGATATCGAGCATTTGAATATCAGTTACATCATAAGGGTTACATCAACATTTGTATGCTGACGATGGCGATAGACGAGTAGTGTTTTGTGATTGGTTGCTTCAAAATCACAGAGTTAACCCAAATTTTATCAACTTCATTCTATTTTCCGACGAATCACGATTTACAAATAATGGCTTGTTCAATAAGCAAAATTCTCGGTACTGAGCCTAACAAAATCAACAACAAATTTGTTGATCCAATCGCAAATAAATTAGTATCGTTAGATTCGTCAAAATATCCTTTTTTCGGAAAGTGCTTGTCAAAAAATGGTCGCCATTTGAAAAATAATAGACACGAAAATGTAATTTTGCCAACTTGTCTTATTCATATCTATCGTACTTGTCACTAAAACTCCGCGATTGCAATTTTCTGATATCACCTGAGGTCCTTAGATTAGTTTACTTCCGATCATGGTCACCTAGATGTAATTTCATATGTGAGTCCGAAAAAATTAAGTAGGCACGAAAACTTCCGGAAATGTCACATTCTGATCTAGAATTGTCTCAGAAATCCAATAATGTTACATTATACAGGGTGTTCCATTTAAAAATTCAGAATCGGAGCCATTTCCGGTGAAACCGGAAGTGACCGAAAAGTGAAAAGTATGTGAAAACTCTCCTCTTTACATACCATTCATCTATATACCAAATCTCATTTTGATACACCTAATGGTCTAGAAGTTATGACTTGTCTAATAAATTCGTTGACACCCGGTATGCTACTAGTATACTTACTTGCACCTACTTTACTCTCAGTATCTTTTGTATTTTTTTGTTGTTTTATGTACTCATAATTTTAACCCAATCGGTGAAGTCTTGTATAGTAGTTGACGTATAGATTAGTATAGATTATGTAGGTACCAAAAACCAGGAAATTATACTGGGTGGTTTGTTGTTTTTGAAGGTTTCGAGGGTGAAATGTATAGTATATGCAGAACCATCTCAGTGACCTCTATATGATATTGGGATATGTCTCTTTTTCAATGAAACACCTAGTATAGCTGCAGATGCAGAATACGACCACAAGAATAGATGATAATACGCAATTGAAAGCAAAAAACGGGTCTTTGAACAATTTCCATCATTTCTTGCGTACATGATTGTCTTTCTAAAATAATTATCATTTGCAAATAAGAGATTCGAGGAGCTCTCTAACTGAACAAACTGTGATAGAAAAAGGTAGGTAGTTTCAAGGATACAACGAGTCATTGACTTCTATCTCTCAAGACTTTACACAGTTTTTTCCTCTAAGAAGATTTGCACCAGGTAAATGTGAGTTAGAGCTAGACGATATTTTTCCGTAGGACGTACAACTATTCAGCTGAAGATGATTCCATATAGAAAAGTTCTAGAGTTCACTACCAAATATCATTTCTTTCTGAGAGCTTCGTGATTCTCTCTAGTTATTAATGGAATACACAGCAACATTTCAATTTACCAAAAACGTAGGATGAGTCGCTACATCAGGAATCTGTTGGAATATGAATACAAGATCAATTTTCAGATCAAAAGGGATTATAAGGATATTGTGGAAATGATTTTTCCATTAAAGCAGTGCAGTTGTACGAAAACCATTCACCATTCCGCTGATTATTTTAGGGAGACTAAG